TAGAAAGGCCACCAAAAGTGGCCTACAAACGTGGTTCATTTTTCCAGAAGGGTTCTACTGTAAGTATATGAGTGTTTATATATATTCATTTGCTTGAATATGTAGACACTGATATCTACTAGTGCTATTTATTATTTTTAAAATTTTTTGGCAATATCTAATGTGCTTCTACATCCAGAATATTAGTTCAAAAATTAAATTCTCTAATCCCTGCTACTTGCTTTCTTTTCTTTCTTCCTTCTACCTCCCTTCTCTCATCTTTGGATTTTAGACAGATAGATTGACCATTATCACTGAGAATGACTGGAAATGCTTTTGTGAAGAATGGGGTGGTACTCAGGAGAATGGCATATCTGCTGTAATTGAGCTCAGTAGTGCTAATGATTTGGCTGGATACTGTGGGGACATGCCAATATTTGAGCAGCATCTTGATCTTTCCAATGAAGTAAATAATGAGATTGAGTCAGGACAGCCAGTGATTAGGACCTGCCCAGAGGTAATGTTGATATTAACCCAGAATTTTTCTTCCTGTTCGGTGATCTATGTAATGGATTTTTTTTTTTTTTGTTTTGTTTTAGGACTCATGATTATTGGATTCTTTTGGAAAGTTAAGATTGATGATATTTAGCTAATGCTAAGTTGTCCAAAAACAAATTGGAAAATTTGTTATTTATGTGTTCTTGTGTAGGCAGTGATAAGTGTTGGTTGTTGGGGTTTTTAACTTTCTGTAATGAAATGTGACGTGCATGTCCTGAGGTATGCAGGATGGCTTTTTAATTTTTGCATGGAAGAAAGATGCAAATTTGAAGAAAAAGAAAAATCATGAGAAGAAGATAGAGAATGCTGTAGTTTTTATTTATTTATTATTTTTCTTCACATAAATGTCTGAATTTGTATGCATTAATGTAGAGAGATAATTGAAAATATTATTATAGATTAGGAAGAAGGAAATAGATGCTGCTTGATCTATGCAATTCTAAAAGATTCCTGGTACTTTTAAGGGCAAGAAATGCTTATTGCTCATGGGTTCTCAGAACATTCTTTGGCATCTCAGAAGTTATGAAACTTGAACAATGTAATACTGGCTAGTGTGGGTTTGTAAAATTCTGCTGAGGTTGTTGGGACTTGGGAATGACTTGCCAACCTCATTGAATGTAAATCATGCTTTCAATTTTTATTTATTTTTTAATAATTGCATCAGTTGTTCATAGAACACTGTCGGGTATCTCATATGTCCATAGTATTTGGACATTAGAATTGTAGACAATGCAAGTTATGACATTCTGGCCCCAGTCATTGGGAAGATGACCAGACAGCCTCATTGAAAGGAATGTAAATAGTGATGTAAGATTTTTTATATTTACTTGCCTCAGATCTGGGAACAATGTGTGTTAAAATTGTCCTAAAAATGGTTGAACTTTATTACTCTTATAGTTGAAAGTTTGAATCACTTGTGTTGATAATTTGCTAGATATGTGAGGAGTGCATTGGAGAAAGAGAAAGCTGTGAGTTGATGCAAAAGCTTAACTATGCTGATGAAGATATTTATGTTTATCTTGTACGTGGAAAAGAAGCTCCAAAATCAATCTTACAAGCATCTGAGTCCTCTGAGCCTGATCGACGAACCTCCAAGCGTTCTCGGAGGACAAATAATGGAAATTTAGTAAATTTAAAAGTTTCTGCATCTACATCAATATACCAGTTGAAAATGATGATATGGGAATCACTGGGGGTAAGCAATGTCGAGTTTGTGGAATTTAACTATAATATTCTTTAAAAAATTGTGCTTATGTTGTGTGCTTCCTTTTTCTTAACTAATTATTTATCTTAATACTGCAGAACTGTGAACATGTATTCTCCTTTCTCTGTCTAAAACTTCGAGTTATCCTGTTTTAGACTACTTTAGTTGGACTGATAATCTTGTCTCTGCCTACGGACCATTGTTTTCCAACAATCTCCTTAACACATTGCTATTTGCAGACATTAAATTTTGGTGATGTTTTGTTGTTGAGTTAAATAAAATCTTAATAATTAATATTAAATAAACCATTTATATCGATGCATTGATCTTAACAGGCTTGCCGCTCTTATTACAATATGTTATTTGCTTGTAGAAATGTTAGTAGGTTATGCTGCAAAGCATTTTAGTTTCCCTAAATCACTCAAGTTGTCACTTATCTAGCTTCATGGAATTTAAAATCTCACTTATATGGGCAAATTTTGATTAAATTTGCAGAAAATAAAGTTTCCACTGACATTCATTACTTATTATTTGGGTGGAATGTGTCATTAATTTAGGGTTAATATCATTCTTTGTTTTTCTTTAGGCCAAAAATCAATCTTGGTTTGAAAATGTGGTAGGAGACAATTTCTTAATATTATTTATTTTGATGAGGTTTGCTTGCTTGTCTACTGGAAACTGAGATATTGCTATTCTCAACTTAATGTTTTTCAGATGCCTTTGTAATGAGCACTTGTCATTGAAGTAAAATATGTTTTCTTTCAATAGCAGCCTCATTGGCAATCATTACGTGCAGGTTGTTAAGGAAAACCAAATTCTTCACAAAGGATCCCGTATAATTGATCAGGAAACTGCCACTCTTGCAGACATGAATATATTTCCTGGAGATAGGCTTTGGGTGAAAGATTCAGAAATCCATGAAGATCGAGATATTGCTGGTAACTTTTTTTTCTTTTCTCCTTTTCAAAAAATATACTGTCATAGTTACTGTGTTAAATAGAATTAAGTGGTTGTTTCAGTGGTTTCCCCTCTCAGTTGGATTTGATGTAAAAGAAAGTAGAGAAACTGTTTTCTGTTTCATGTCCTCAGCATAATCCTTCCTTATGTGAATCTGGGATTTGACAAATTCTTCATACACTCCAGAAAATTGTATCATATTCATTAGGATGTTGATCTTTGTTGTAATTTAGTGCTTTAGAACTGCAGCCAGCATAAATACTTTGTGAATGGTAACCTGAGTTGGGTTTACATGAGAGTCTCTGTTATATGGATTCTTTAATTTCAGTTGCATTAGAAAAGAACACAGAAAAGGATGGGGAAGAAATCTACTTATGTTAAATTTTCTCCTTTGAGAGGGTAAAAAAATAAAAGCTTTGCACAAATTGTCTTTGTGAGAAACCCAGAGGGAGGAAAAACAAGTCCACAGAGGGGCATGATGTTAGGATTAAAGCCCTTTTTTCAGAAAGCAATAATAATAGCAAGTGCAAACGAAAAAATTGAAGACACTAGATTTATAGTAGTTCACTCTCAATGTGTGTGTTCACTTTGTAGCCATTGCAGAATTTTTCACTATAAAGAATAGAGAGATTACAAGCGCGATGATAAACCCTTATTATTACATATAAAATTTGGAGGGGGTTTACCACCCATTTCCAACCTCCACATTGACCTTTCCATGAAAGTCGATTTGCATATTTGCTTTGGACAATCAATGTCAAGATATTTATTAGGCTCTACACAACTTAACACAAGAGTTAGGGAGGTTATTCTCTGGATTGGTAAGAGCAAACAAATTCTGGTGATTGCTTATGCTTGATTTAATAATTGCATAAATTTTCAGTTTTAAATTTCTGCAATAATTTAATACCTTTTATCCACAGTTATTTTTATGGAATTGAATTCAAGGTTAAGAAACTGGTAAGAATTGTAATTTACTGGTAGAAAAAAATTTAGTATATGAAATGATGCTGTTGAGATATTCAATATTAATTCTGAAGACATAAAATGTTGCTAGAAAAAATATGGGCTTCAGTAGGGTTCATTGATCTATCAAACTGATAAGAATTTTGATTCTGGAAGATTGTTTTTCTAAAAGAATATTATGATGATGGTTTATCATGGTTCTCTTTGGCATTTTAATATCCCAGTTTGATTGTGAGATATGATATATCTCTTGCTAAATATTCTCCTCCTCTCTGTCTCGACATTTAGTTGGATTTTTTTTACACATAGGTTGACATTAACTCGGCATTCAAATATTGCATGTGACCAAGTTCCATATGAATATTTTATTGGTCATGGGTATTTATTCTAGACGGTTTTTTTGACATCTGAGGTATATTAGTACTTCTCACTTCACATGCCACTTTGTATAAAGAAGTGTAGTTGTTTTTTGCCCAAACAGCTGTATAGTTGCTTTCTTTCTAAGCTTTATCACGTAAGTATTTCAATAATCAAGTAGCCATTGTTTGTTGATCCTTTGGTGCTGCACAGATGAGCTTTCTGACCAGAAATTGAATGTTGAAAATATTGAAGAAGGATTTCGAGGAACACTGTTGACGGCAAATATTTCATCTCAAGTTGTTTAGAGGAAGTATACTTTTGTTTTTTTGCCTACAACATCTAAAATTTTGTAGATAATGATGCTGGAAGAAGAAATGATGGAATGTTTTGATTTGCATGTTGGAGGTAAGGTGCCTGACTCTTTTTACATATCATACCTTTTGCTGTTTATATTTGATATGGGTCTCTTTTAGCTTCCTCATTTTTCATCTTAACAATAATTACCAGTTAAAAAGCTCTTGTGCAATTAAGGTGCCATGGCTGGTAAGCAGTCCTCTGCTGCTGTACAGCGCGCCTGAAATTGTCGAGGTCCTAGCTTCTATGATTGCTTATTTAGACATAATTAGATGTTTAAATCTGCATAAGGTTGTCTGATGAAATCACCAGCAAATAGTCTTTGTAAACTGTGAGCACCATTTCTTTTGGTGTCTGAAACCAAACATTTACACCATTTGGCTTTTGCAGTGTTGTCCTAGTAACTTTGTGATTTGGCAAGAGGATGGGCATCTCATTTGGTTAACTTTGTAACTTATTGTCTGGCTCTGGTTTGGTCATTGGTGCAAGAAATCACTGATTCACTAAAATATTGTGTTTGTGCAAAACAGATAGTGAGAAAGGTTGCTGCTTGAGCCTTGAAGGAATTATTTCTCTTCCCCAGCCCATTTTTGTACCTTGGCAATATCCAGAAAAGCCTGGACTTACACATCCATGGCAGATGTGGTAACCATAGTGATACTAGTATTTGTGAATGCTGCAGAGAACTCTTTTACATACTGGTGGAGATGGCTATGAATATCATCAGCGTAATATACCTTTGCTTCTTGTGGAGATGCTCAAGTTGTGGACTATATATTGCATGTAGTAATATATTTTGAGGATATCAACAAAACATAGGATGCTCTGTGAAGTAAATTTATATTAATCTCATGTCGTGTTTCAACAACTTTACTTCCTACCTCCTGTCTCCTATCCTATACCACTTTACGCTGCTATTGCCAGCCGCTCGCTAGCTACCTTAACAAAGCTTTCCTGCAAATTTATTCAGCTAGCAGCTGTTTCCTTACATAACATCAACTGGTTTCGCTATTTTTTTTTTTTTGGATTTTGTCATTAGTTTTTGCTATTTATTTATTTATTTTTACTTTTAAACAAGGGAAAAAGGAAGAAAATATTACCATATCGAATAATTACATTACAGAGAATTTTAGTAAAATTTTCATTCATAGAATTCGAATGTGAAAGATGGTTAGTCTATATTTTTTATCCAGTGTAAAGATTGCAAATAAAAAGTGGGCCTTGGAGGCTGAGGAAGGGGCCTGGTATAAGAATGAGGCCCAAAGGTTTTGGGGGTTTAAGGGAGGGGAGCCTTTTCATCTTGGTTTGTTGGTTTTACTTTATTTATCTCTCCCCAGTGGACTGAACTCACTCTGTCTGGAATCAATGGCGGCAAAGGCCAAGCAAATGATGCAGTTGGTGTTGTCTTCTTCATTTACTCTTCCTATATCTTCACGATTAGCAGCGGTATCAGCTGTTCGTGTCCTTTATAACCATTATCCTACAAAATCGCTTGCAATCGTGAGATCTGTTTGTAGAAGCATCTCTACCGATACAAATAAGAAGAAGACGAAGAAGCAGCAGCAGCAGCTGAAGAAGAAAGAAAAGGGCTTAGCGAAAGAAAAGCGAAGAACCCGTTCACTCAGGGATGGTGATATTGAGATTGAGAATGTGGAGGAGGATGATTCTTCTACTTCAGCCATGATGCAGCAGTCCCAGTCCCACATCCCCGTTATGTTGAGTGAAGTACTTGATGTCTTCTCTTCAAATTCAAAGCCACTCTGCTCTTTTGTCGACTGTACTCTTGGAGCTGCTGGTCATGCTTCCGCGGTCTCTTTTCTTTCTTTCTTTTACCAGTAGAGTAGTTACTCCTGAGTTTTGTCCTGTAATTTTCTCCTATTACTAACATATTGGTACTTCGTTTTAATGACAGATAATCCAGTCCCACCCTCAACTCAAGCTTTTCATTGGAATGGATGTGGATCCTGTTGCACTCCAGATGGCTCGTTCTCGCATCCATGCTCTTTCCCATTCTCACCCTCATCCTCACTTCCAAGCCTTCACTTTTCTCAACAATTTTAGGAACATCAAATCCCTTCTCAGGCAGGTTGACCACCCCGACCTCTTCTCTTCCGGAGTCGACGGCATCTTAATGGATTTAGGAATGTCATCCATGCAGGTTTTTTCGCCTTGCCCTTTCCTCCTCCCTCTTCCCTCTTCTTCAATTTGCTTCATGGCCTCCTCTGTTTTTGCACAGGTCAACGATCCCGAGAGAGGCTTCAGTGTGCTTGCTAATGGACCTCTTGATATGCGCATGGATCCTCAGGTAAAGACTTTAAGTGAAGGACATCTCACCATTGGCAACACCGCATCCTTTTCCCTTGTTTCTCTCCCTCACCCTTTACCTCATCCTCATCATCATTTTAAGTTTATAACTTTGAAAGTGGTTACGCTTTCTTGTGATTTTATGCATGTTGTTGCTGTTCTGGGCTTTACCTCTTCGCTGCAATTTGACAACTTTATGCCAATCGAAAAAATAATAAATTGCTTAACTCGTTTCATTGATTATATATAGAGTGAAATGGAGGTGGAAAATGAAAAACATTCCCAAAACTAAATGGTTCCTTAAATTGTCTAGAGGGACACAGCATGCTACAGGGACTGTTCCTTCAGTCAGGCACTCATGGTTAATTAACAGGCTAATTCTGGCATCGCATCTAGGCTAGGGCTAGGGGCAAGGCCATGGTCGAGCTGGGTTGTGCTGTCCTGCGCACGGCATGATTATTCATGTTAGGCCACAGTGGGCGTGGCACATCTATATTTTTATAAATGATTTTAGTTTTCTTTGGAGTTACTAATGAGGTTTGATCCCTTTAATCAGAATACTTCCATAAACTAGCTATTATGACTTTTGAGAGGATTATTTGAAAACAAAATGTTATTTTCGGGAAAAGAAAACTCGCAAGAGTCAGGCTGTGCCGGGTTGGTAATAGCCTTCATGGGCTCTGTTGTACTAGCCTAACCAGCTTGGGACCCTCCAGCACAACCAATATATCGGGCCTGTGCCTCAACTTGGGACTCCTCAGTAACAGTAGGTACGGGCTCCGAGGTGTAGTTGCCTGGAAACTTGACATATGCTGTTGATTAGCTTCATGTTGCAGCTGTTGATCACGTTATATCCTCATGCACCACTTCTATTCTCTTCATCTGAGAATTCTTGTTCATTGATTTTTTCTCTTGCCGTGTATGATGCTGAGTTGTAATCTGAATCGCTAACTCTTCTTTGATGGTCCTCTTCCTTCTTTTTTTCTGCATACAATCTCCCTGGCATACTGTTCCAGTGTTAAATTATTCCCGTAGAATAGCTGGAAGTAGCCAGCCAATATGTTCACACAATTGTCCACAGAGATGCATGTGTTTAGACATATCTCAGAATCTTTAATATTTCTTTTCTACTTAACTAACTATAACAGGCTTATGACAGTCTAGTCTGAAAGCAGAAGACATATTAAATTGCTGGCCAGATAGTGAAGTGGGAAGAATCCTTCGGGATTATGGAGAAGAAAGCAATTGGAGATTGCTTCAAAATAAGATTCTTCAGGCTCGTCTTCAAGGTGGATTGCATTCTACTGGTGAATTGGTTGATGTTATTCGGGGTGTGACTCCTGGGACAAGAGGTAGGTTTTCTCTCTATTCATCCAATAAGGTTTTTTGCTTTTCGTTACTGTTTGAATTTTCTTACTTGTGTTCAAATATACTCTGACAAGGTAACGTTCGGGTCCACGGTGAGGGATTTTTGGTCGTTTGTTTGTCTCTCTTTTTAAAATTCTTTTGAAAGACAAGCACAGAGGCAATTAATGCAAAAATGGACATAATCTAATGGGCTTGTTTCCACTGGATGGGTAACGTCTAATTATTTGACACAGGAGGTAGGCAAGGTTGGGTAAAGACTGCAACAAGAGTGTTTCAAGCGCTCAGAATTGCTGTCAATGATGAACTCAAGACACTGGAGGATTCCCTGTACGATTGCTTTGATTGTCTTGCCCCTGGGGGTAGGCTTGCCGTCATTTCTTTCCACAGTTTAGAAGACAGAATTGTGAAACAAACATTTCTTAAAATCATCGATTGCAGCAAGGAAAGTGGAGATGGTAGTGTAGAAGAGAGGGATATAGGGGATTTGCGAAAGATCAAAGGTGACAATAATAAAAAGGAATTATGGATTAGACAGACGATACAAGGTCGGAATGGAACAATACTGACCAAGAGGCCAATTACACCATCTGAAAAGGAAGAAGGATTCAACCGTCGGTCTAGAAGTGCTAAGCTAAGGGTAATTCAGAAGGTCTGTTCATAGGTAAGTTGTAGCTGGAGGTCATAGCTAGCTCGGGGAAATTATTAAGTAGTTATCTTTAATGAGCCTCTGCCATTGGCGTTCCATCCTTATCCTCTTTGTTTGATAATTAGGGTAGAAATCTTCCACAGAGGAAAATCATTTCAATGGATCACCGTGTAACTAAAAACCAATTACCAGTTTTATGATGATAGGAATAGAATGAGCAATGGCGGTAGTATGACATTTGAAAAGTGGAACCAACAGATTATTACCATTTTCTTATCAATGCTAATGGAATTATTTGATGTGTGAAAACTAATCAGTGAATGATAATGATCCCCTCCCACATTTTACAAACCAACAACTAGTGCTATATGGAAGTGCAAAAGGAAGAAAGGAAGCAGTCCAGACCAGACCAGAAGCAAGCACCATCAACTACTCTAATGTTTCGCATATTAGAGTACTCCTGCTAAGACAAGAATCTATGTCTCATAAGTATTGTTGTTGTTGTGAAATAGTCAGTCAGCTTAACAAATTGTATAATGCTAGTAGGATTGTACTAACATGCATCTTCAAGGTCAAGGGAAGGTTATTGATTAGTTCAGACTGCTTATATGCTAATTTAATAATTATTAATTAAAATCTTTAATTTTATGATGTTTACCAAGTATAATTTCGATGAGCAGAAAAGCAAAGCAATCTATAAATAAAAATCAAGAATTAAGAAATTTGGTTGAGAAGTATAATGTTGACTGTCGTAGTAGGAACATAACAACATCACAGAAGATGCAGGCACGTCGTCCATTTATCTATAAATAATCAATTATTTATTATAGCCATAGGATAGTAGCAGTAGAAAACGTGATCTTATTTCCTGAACCAGTAAAGCTAGTGACCATTAGAGGTCTGTTTTATTATCCATGTACTTTGGAAAAGTAATGCTCGAAACTGAATATATTACTGACTTACAGTCGGTAGGAATAAGAACCCACGACCAATTACTCTAAATAATAACGAGTAGAGTCTCAACTCTCAACTCAGCTTGTCGTTTTGTTTTGAGTTCACAGATAATTAAAAAAAAAAAAAATCATCAATTGGGGGATATGATGACTGTAGCAACTGCGAGCAACAATGGATGGAGATGGAGATTTCCATTTCCACACTTGAGAAACAGCAGCAGCAGTAGAAGGTTTATGTTGAGATTTCTTCTTTCATAAAGTTGAGTATTAACCACTAATTCCTGCCTGTTCCTGCCTGAATTAATCTCTCCGTATTCAGGAAAGCTACTCTCACTCTTCCCATCAAACTACACCGACATAAAGAGAACAATCTTGTAGCCTCCTCTAATGCAAAGCGAGCGAGTTTGACTGCCTCAAGGACCCAAAAAGTTAAACTTCCGGTTTATGGTGACACTTCGGAGGTCAAGGGCGACCAACCTTATCATATCAGTCACTTTTTAAGCCATCCATCTGGGATCGAAGCTATGTTAAACACTAGTGCCTTACAAAACTTTGAGTTTCTTGACACCAATGCATACAGGTCAGTTTCCTGCCTTATCTCTTACTGCCAATGCCCACTGCTAGTATTTATTTGCCATTTTCATCATTCATTTTCTTCTTGCTTAACTATCTCCTCTACTGTCCAATCCCATTGCTGTGTTCTGTGCTGGCAAAACAAAACAAAAGAGTTTTTTTTTTTTTTTTTTTTGCAATTAAACTGGCTATCAAGGAACTGATTTTTAATGAACCCATTCCAAGTTTCTCATTCATCCTAAACTATTAATCTAGAAATTCTTGAACCTCAGGTCTTAATAAGGTTTGATGCCTTTTATCTTTCATCTTTTGAATAGCTGCATAAAAATGACTCTTAACTAGAAAAGGATTTTTCTTGGATGCTGTCCAGGTGCACACTTCCAAAACTTGCGCTCTTCAACTTTGAAGCAACACCGGTACTTGACTTACGAGTGATCCCCACAAAAGAAGATTGCACTGTTGAGTTATTTTCTTGCAAGGTGACCTTCTATCCTACATTTCAGATATTGTAAGGTAGAACAAGGTGGGGGTAAAAGGTTTGCTTAAAATAAAGAGGAAAAAAAAAAAAAAAACAAGAAATGCACAAAGAACTCATTTAGCATTTTCAGAACCTGTCAGCAGAGATTGTATTTTGCATGTATGCTTTTATGTTATACTGAAAATTTTGTCGTTGAGAAAATATATCATCCAGTGATTGCCTGTGAGCATTGAAGCCTCTAGGGCAAAAGTGATGAAAATATTGCTATATGGAAAGACATCTTTGCTTAATCAAGCTGATTTCTAGTTGCTCACAGCACAAAAGCATACACATTAATAAGCGACATCAATATCAAAATGCCTATTTTTGCTATTGTGCTTGTTGGATTATGATTATAATGAGAATGACAAAGTCCATTTCCATTGAACCCAGAATCTAATGATATGCAAATGAAAACAAGAGACTTAAATACAGATCTTTGATGAGTATTAAAAAGAAAAATGAAGGTCACTGTTAGTTGTATTCTGTTTGATGACTGATGAAAATTGTATTTGTATACTTGTGGCTAACATTGTATGCAGTTCAAGGGTTCAAAAGTTGTGGAACGCCAAAATGACCATTTTTCAGGTACTTATGACCTTTGTATACCTTTGAGCTAATATTGGTTTGTTTTTTATTTTAGAGTGATAGATGTTGTTTAGATGAACTAAAATCAATAGCTTGTTTCATAGTGCTCAACCTATTGCTTTGAAAACCAATCATTTCAAACTTAAAATGTGTGATTGGCATGTATAGAATTTTAAGCAATGGTCCTCGCTTTAAAGTATGAATCATTAAAAAGAAATTATGGAATGCAGTAAAGAAGTTATCATGTTAACTTCCTAAACCATTGGTTGAAGTGGGAACTGGCTCCTCAAGCAGTTCACTGTTTGGATTTTTAAGGCACTGGCTAAACTTTTTCATTTTGGTGCCCAACCTCTCATCAGCTAATTGGATTGCTGAATAAAACTTATGGCTATAATTTTTTTTATTATACTAGCCAAGATTTCATTTAGTTGTATCGTTGATAACAAATTTAAGTCGGAGGGCCCAAGAATTTTCTTTTTAGGATCTTTAAGAATGCATATTATTCTATATATAGTGGGTATTTGGTACTATTTTATAACTATTAATGTTGCTTTCAATTTTGCAGCTACTATGATAAATCATATTACCTGGGACACAAATATTTCTGAGCCATTTTTAGAAGTTGATGTGAAGTTGAATCTAAGTCTTGAGGTTGTTATCTTATTGGCTTGACAAATCATGACTGTTACCTGGAAATTAAATTTTAATTGTGCCTCCTGGCAAAACATTTTTTTTTTTTCTGTAGGTTTGAGTCTTATTTTGGAATATGTGACTTACGTTTATCATGATATGCTGGCCTATTTCCAATAGTGCCTATTCGCATCCATGTAGGTTGACTGCATTCAACTCTTTTCTAATCCTATGTTTCTCTTAGTTATTTATGGTCTTGAGAAGTTGCCACTTTGAATTTACATAAATAATTGTGAATTTGTCTTCCAAAGTCCATGAAGTATTGATGAAGTTGAATTTTGATTTTATAAGGAGAAATGGGGGAAGTCTGGAAAGTTGGGAAAGGTGATACAAATGAGAACATTTTTCTATTTCAACTGGTTTGCTTGGTATAAGATGGAAAAGTGTATAGACAGAAATATTTTTTCCATTAATTTCTTGGTAGAGTAGCAAATACGTTTTGTAAGTGTAGAAAATCTCTCCAGTTTGGATGATTAAGTTTTGGTAGCATGGAGAGAATGGCAATCATTCATTTTTCCTTTCCTCTCATTTTTCTCTTCTACATGGTCTATGAGTAGAATTCTCTTCCACTTTTTCAGTAACCCCTTTGGACCCACCCACTTTTGACTCCTACCAAGCCTAGCCTAACTGTTGTTGCATGAAGAAAGTTTCAGGCATGGGTTCAGTTCTACTTTTCACCTGAGTGACAGTCGACAAGGGAGGACCTGATCAACTATTTAAGAAAACAAGCAGTCATCCTACAAATCTTGCTGAATATATTCAGTTCACGGAGCTTTTTAATATTGATAAATTAAGAATTTTTTTTTATCCTTCCTAAACAGCTATACTCTTAATTCAATTTGCTGATATGGAAAGTTTGATCCAACTCTAGCTTCTCAACCATAGAGGAAGCAAACTGCATTAGATACTCCGTCTATGTTCTTCAACTTGCAGTTCTTTTTAGGTTTAATTGAATTTCAAAGCTTTCAGGGTCTTGGTGTGTCACCATAATTTGGGGGCTCCTTTGAGTAAATACTTCTAGCTCATAAGTTACCTCTAACGGTCATACAAGTGGGTTGTATTTTATTTTCAAGAATATTGATTCTAGTCATATTTTTGAGAATGTCAGCATGATAATATGATTGTCTTCCTGTTTTAAGCATGTTAATTTGTAGATCTCGTATTTGCTCTACCTGGTGTTTAGCTGCTTTGGTGGTGATTTTTTCTTTTACCTTGATAACATATAAATGATGTTGATTTTTGTAAACAGATTTACACGCGACCATTTGTTTCACTGCCAATTTCAGCTGTCGAGCGTCCTGGAAATCTGTAAGTGTTTTAGTTTAAGTACAGCCGCATTTCCATCCAAAATTCTCCTATCTTGTATGAATATTTAATAAAATGACAGTAACTATCAAATGCTGTAGCACCATGGATTTTTTTCACTTAGATTATCAGCTAATCTTTGGATTAACCTAATGTGTAGATGATGTATTAATCAACAAGACAGATATTCTAATTTACAGCAAGAAATGTAAATCTTCATTACAGTAACCGTGCAGATTCCAGGATTATGCTTATTTATCCAGATGCACATTTGTCAATTCAAAGAATTTATCCTCAAGCAAGTATTTTTTTGTCTTTTGGGGGCTTGCAAGATTTAAGGAGCTTCTCTAACTATTATTTCAATTAGTATCTTCAAGTTGCATAGTAGGACAGAAACTTAATCCTGTCAAGTTGCTTATTCATGAAGATGAACTGCAATCAGTAGCATATGAGATGAGATGGATTTTCATTTTCACTCACTGATTCTTCCATAAATATTCATACAATGGAATTGTTATCAAATGCAGAATGATACAAGCTCTGGTGGATAGACTTGTTCCTTTGCTTCTTCAGCAACTACTGCAAGATTACAACAAATGGGTTGAACAGCAACTTCAAAATTGTTGATAAAGTAGCTCCTTTGTTCATATTGGCAAGTAAACCTTTGACCTTTCTTTTATACTTTTTTTTCTAATCTTTCCGACTTTCTCTTTCTTCTCAGTTAAGTCAATGATGATGGACCATAAATAGATTCAATGACAATAGCAACCAGTTTTTAAGGTTTTCTAGACCTACTTTCCCCGATTAAGGTTTTAGGTAAGAATACAATGTCAGATCTTAACATCTGGACAAGTAGTTTAGCTCAATTTTGGTTCATACATTCGATTAAATCTATAAGCGCCCGTCAGTTTGATAGTATTAGGTCCACATCCTATCCTATTCATCATCTTATGTACCAAACATGGCCATAATGCATTACCTAGCTGATTCTTTTGGCTAAAGAAAGATTTAATTTGCATGAGAATTTGCCCTATCAGGAATTCATAACGGGGCACTAATACAATGGGCGAAACTCTTTTTCAACAAACGAGTGAGATATTAACGTACCAAACCAATCAAGACCATTATTTTCTTTAGTATTGCCTGAAATAATAGAACTATCTGAAGGAACAAACTGGATAAATAAGCCTTTGATAAATATAAATGATCAAATAAAGCATGTAAGGATCCTTAATTTTACAAACCTAAGGGTATATTAAAACCATATTCTTTGATGTTGACAGGGAAAATAAGATTAGTATTCTTTGCCATCACAAGAATACAGGTTCAATGACCATTTATGCTAGACCTAAAGATTCATCTATTCGTGTCATGTAAAATACTGAAATTCGTATATTCATGTTATGTTTTACACAAACATTATATGTTACAATTTGTATTAACATGAGAACTTTAAAATATATATATTTTTTTAAATCTATATATAGTTATTGTTAAAATTTTAAATCGTGTTACTTTCTTAACCTTTTTTTGTATTGTATTCGTGTTATGTCACTATATCGTATTTTAAATTGTTAGATCTAATTTATATGAAAACCTAAAGCCAAAGCTAAAGAACCTTAACCAAAACACTCTAAGATTGCCCATGTAGAATCCTATAAGGTGTATCCATACATAAATGAGAAAAATTTCAGGCCAATCACCCCAGTGCTCACTGAAACTGTCAATATTGTAACTTGGACAATCAAAATTTAATTTCTATCAATTGGGACATCCAACTTTTAATTTCATAACAAGTTCAGTCATTCCCTTTGTTTTGTTAATTCACCTTCATGGAGTGATGAAATGTCAACATCATCAAAAGCAATTTAAACAACTCAAAGGGCCCAGAAACAAGCTAAATTAACAATCAGTAACTAAATGTGAACAAACAAGATTCCCTTTGAGGTCTCAAAACTTATAGTGTTTAGCAAATGCAAACATCCTAACAGTAAAAAACTAAAATATTAACAAAACGCAGACTAGGCCATCAGGTCATAACAACAACAATACCTCATTGAACCCAAATGGGCCAGATCCACTATCTCTTTTTTTTTTTTTTTTTCTGTTTCCTCTTCTTTGTTTCAAGTTTCAGCATTTCAAGTCTGTGTTTTAAGAAAGTAAAGTAAGAAGTATTGTTTATAAGTGGAGGAATTAGGTGCTTTTCTTGATTCCTAACTTGAGTGTTAGTATGTGTGTGTGTCTAAGAGAGAGAGAGAGAGAGGGTTGAAAGGATTCTTCTGGAAAAACAAATGAAAGGAAATAAAAAATGATTTGAGTTATATAGCAACTAACCTAACTGTCAATGATTTCAATTGTTTGTTGTTATGGTTATCACAGTTATGATTTATTTACATAACATAGTTACGTGGTTCAATTAGTATAAAACAAAAGCTTATTTATCAAAGTGAATAAGATATTTCAGTTATTGTTACTGAAATTTACTTAATTTGTTGGCAATCTTTGCTGATGACATGGTTGTTGAAATGGTTGCTAAAATGGCTGATATGCAAGTTAACAGAATGATCCAATTTGTTATAGAATGAAAAGCTACCAATTGTTAAGAATTCAAGTCAGGAAAGCCAAGTGACAGTGACAAATACGGTGACCACTGATATTATGGGCCCAAAATTTCAGGTATTGATTTCTACACAGATGAGGATTCAGTCTCATAAGTATAGAATTTAGCTGAATCCTCCTAAATAAGATGAAAGATATTGACCCACTGCTTCAATGAAGAAGAATATACGTACTATGAAGGTATTGAGATTCCATCTTGCTTCGGAAACCGTTGGGCTCCATCAAGACACTCAGGAGACAGCTCATTATCCCCAAAAGATCCCAGCAATTCACTGACCATAGCAAAGTCAAAGAATATGAATATGTAAAAGAGAAAAAGGAATATGAGAGTAAAAGATGAAAAATAAACATGATTAGTAAAAATTCACGTACCAGGATGTCAGATTTTTCAGGAGTATCATATCACAAGAAACTATGGTAACAATATTTTCCTACCCTTCCAGTTTAACCAAACTCTGCTTAAACAAAGATAAAACCATTTTCAAAATGCAAAACTAATTTGGGACTTCCAAAGAAAATTATCCACGATAAAAAATCAAAGGCTGTTGTTACCAAACTACCAATCACAGCCTTTAATAAAAGCTTTTACCAGCAAATTACTCCATCTACTTAACGGTTAAATTATATAATATCTAATGGGCATGAAGTTGAGTACTTTTCTAATCCTTGAATTTTTCAGAGGAAAAAAAATTGCTACGGAGGGAAGCACAAGAGGTAAATATAGCAGACACGAAGGTGGGGTGGGGAAGATAAGATAAACTCAATGATTAAAACAGCATTTCGAGGCTTTATCTCATGCACCCATTTCATCCCTAACAATGCAATCCTCAGCTACAGCACATAAAAATATATGGGTCTAAAATTGAGAGTGATACCTCCTTAACATGCTGACTTTTTAAAGACCAAAGATGTGTAATTAATTGTGGTTTCCATATTTTATCATAGAGGATTCAACCAAATCACATTGATAGCAAAACGTCCTCTAAGACTAATTTACCTCTACGGTTCAACAATACCACTAAAAAGGCATTTTCTTACATACTATCTTATCCAAAATCTAACGAACAAGACTCTAAAGAGAAGAGTGACTTTGTAAGGAGCGGAGAACATTCTTACTAAAATCAGCTTGCCCAGGCAATCCAAAACAAAACCAAATAAGAAAGTGTTAACTGAAGAACTCTATGCATAAGCATGCAAATGGTTCATGCACTGCCAGCAGATTGTCTTGGCAAGATTATCAGCGCATCATCTTAGCAACTGTAAAGTATTACAATTCAAAACATAATCTGCAACTCACATGAAGTGTGACCACAGCATTTGGATTTTTTTCTACAGCATAAACTTTAAGCTTGCGTCCATTTTCTTCAGCTGCCTATCAAGTCAACAAACAGATCACAAAGGCACATCAGAATAGAAGTTGCAACAAATCAGCTGCCCATTCAGCAAAAGACACGGTAAAAAACCTGCAATGATGCCGTCACAATAGGTCCTCCTCCTTCATGTAGAAAACACACCAATATCAAGATTGAAAAATCTTGTATTCATCATATTCACGAAAAGTAATAATAGAACAAGATGATCAGAAGTCATATAAAACAGACAAATTAGAAAAATATGATTTGTGATAAACAGGTAGCTTGCAGTGGTTAATGCTGATTCTTCCCCATCAGGGACCCTGTCCGGTAATGCTTTGCAGATTGCCCTTTGATACTAGTAAAACATAAGCACACCTTATGTCTAAAATTATAATAATAAATAACCACTCGCACCAATCAACAATATAAGAAGAGTCCCACCCACAAAAAAGATACTAAACAAACTCTGAAGGAACAAAACTGCATTTACCTGCATAAATTTCACTGAGTCTTTCTCAAACGTTTCATACGTCTGAGCCTCCAGATTATCCATCAGAGGCTGCGTTGAAATAGCAGAATAAACCAACCTTTAACTGAAATAATAATAGTGGCAAGATATTAGCAAATGTGTAATGCTATTTTCTCAGACATTCTGAATGTATAATAAGGACTATGAAGAATGCTATACGGTAAAATCGATTTTCGACGAAAAAGAAAAAGAAATATACGGTAGAATCGTTCGTAACCATAGAATACGAACCTAGCGCTTGAGTCTTTTTCTAGGAAGGAGCATCAAATACAACCAATTTCTAAATACCGGAATAATAGACATCCCATAATTATCGATCCAAAAGAAAAAAAGGTATGTACTTAGTTATCTGTCAATACTGAGCGCTGATTTGGTAACCCAGTCTAGAGCCCAGGCCCAAACTCTCCTGAGAAAAAGATATGTAATAAGTACTTAGTAAATAGAAACTTGGACGGGTTGTTCTTTGTCCTTTTATTATTATTTTGATTTTTTTAATGGGAGGGTCAGGTCACTCAGAAGCAAATTGACTTCAAAAATTCAGCGGCAGCAACTGTTCTAGTCTGAAAGAAAAACTTTTTAAAAAAATATAGCTGTAATTATTCTCAAAAATATTATACATATATATAAATGTTATAGGAGCCCATAACAACCAAAATCCATGACAGGTGCAATGCATATTGGAAGGTGATCCGGAATCCACGAAGCTCTTGGCCCAAAGTAAATATAAAAAAAACCTATACAAACGGTCCAAACCACATTAACATTATGTTTGATAAAAAAATTGAGGAAAATTAAAAAAAAAAGAAAGAAAAAAATTTTTTTCATTGTGTTTGATATGAAAGATGAAAAATAAAAAAAAGGATATAATTGTAAATAAAATTCACTCATTCTCTTTCCATCTTATTTTCTTCTTGTCAAACAAGAAATTTGAAAAGAAAGAATTTTCCCTTTCATCCTCTTTTTTTCGTACCAACTGTTGTGTAGAGCTAAAGCCCGCTTAGTCTCTCATTTCTCTCCCCAGTCATTACTTCTGCCTCGCTAAATCAATCATCCAAGCTGGACGAAAAAATCAATCATCCATATAGACTTTAAAACATCATAGTCCATAAATCCTACGCGAAACCATTTAAGATAAGCCCAAGAACAATCTCATTGATCTTGCCATCGAGACCACTTGTTTTCAGCCCAATCTCGTTTATGTTGCCCTTCGTCCTTCGTACTCATCCTTTTATGAGTCAATTTCTTGCAATGTAGTCCCCTAAATTCACAAAGCCAGCGGCTTAAGCCAAATCCAATTGCCATCTCTGTTCAATAATAAAACCAACCATATCCAACAATCCACCCACATTTTCTTTGTACAAGTAAGGATTAAAACCCGATCAAAACCAGAAAGGTCTCAGAATCAGGATTTCAAAAGCACCAAATGAAAGATGAGTATTTACAATGAGAAATTTTCATTCCATGGTGATGCTGAACAAATACTAGCTGACAATTATTAATGTGAAATGGAAAAAGTCTAAACCACACACAAAAGATAAAGATAGTTTGGGACAGATATAAGGTATAAGATAGAAAATGAGCCATGAAAAGCATTACACAGCACCCCCTTTGACATGGTATTCAGCAGTAAGAACCTGACCAGGGTCAGCTTTATTTTCCTTTTCAACTTCATCAAAGTGATCCTCTCGGGCATTATCAGCCAACATAAGGGCAACTAGCCAGAAGAGGGCTGAATCGAGGGATACAAAGGCACCACCACCAAGGAGTCCAGTCTTAGCGGTAGGGCATTCTGTGGTGAGATTGTGGTGAACATTGCGAGTCAAGTGAAGCTGCTCTGTGATGGTTGGCCATAAGAGCAGAGTGAATGCTAAGCCCCCTGTAAACCTGCCACAAGCGGATCAAACGTGTGGAGCAGTCTATCTTAAGAACAAGGGTGTTAATACTTGAGTAAGTTGATAGGATAGGATATGGATATGATGATCCATTCATGATTAGTTACCAATATGATTTGAGAATTGTTGGGTGGAGAGTGAAGAGAAGATGATAGATGTGATATTCCACAAGCAACTTAATCAGATAACAGATAAGTAAGAATTAAGGAATCATTGAATTTACATAATCATGGATTAAAAAAAAAAGAGAGAAAGAAACTGTGTGAGAATATTCCTTACAAGGCAATGTTGAAGAAGACGAAGAAACTAGTGCTTTGGAAGAGAACAGAATGTGGAACAGATTTTCCTTTGTAAGGGTAAAACAGAGACCAATAGCCAGCGAAACTAGAAAGTGACAGAAATGCAACCGATAGGTAGCCCAGAACCACCGAGGGATCCGATGGATATTTGCAAATAACCACATCTTTTCCAGAAATTGGAGTTCCAGCCGCTGGCTGTGATTTAATGAATTGGAATAAAATTTTTAATTTAAAAAAAAAAGAAAATAATCCTCCCTCATTAACATCAATAAATTAAGGGTTTAAAAATTATAATAATAATGCTATAAAAGTTGCGTTAGTTATTAACCAACCCTAAAACCAACAGTAGCAGATTAGGTAGAGAAGGTCGAGAAAAAAGAAAGAACCTTCTTGTTTTCGGCAATGACTCCGAAGATGAAAGACAAGACGCCGAGAAAGGAGACGATCAGGGCAGCCTGCTTGATGGTCACAGCCATTTTCGATTTTGATTTTGATTTGACGATGATCTGCAATAACAGAGTAGTAATAATCTATGAGGACTAGGGTTCAAAAATAATCATTGTTTGTTAGAAATCTAATCTCCGTCAGACTGTATTAACTATTATTAGGAGCAAAATAATCGTTCAATTAAAAGGATTTTTTGGGTCAGAAAGAAACAGATTGATTGATTGGTATTTGTCGGAGGAATGAACATACATACCTTCCTGATCAAAAGGCGTGTCGGTGTCTCCTCGACTTGACTTGCTTCAAACGTTAGGCTAGATCAGGACTCAGGCGTAGAGCAGAGGAGGGTACGGTTTGTATACTTATTATCTATGATACTATGGGAAGGGAATTCTTGTGAGATTCAGTTTCAATCTCCCACCTCTGATATGCTTATCCCGGGAATCTCTCCTTACAATGACCTTTTTGCCCCTGCTTTTTCAATTCCTCCTATTGATTTTTTTTTTCAATTTCCAACTCAACAGTTACTGTCACCAATAAATGAATTATGACGAATCAGTCCGAGTGAAACCAAAATTTTCATTTGAAATGAGGACACGTATTTTAAGCCAAATTAATCCATATCGATATCCATCACTAATGTTGAAAAAAATTTTAACTAACGAAAATATACATTTATTCGTTATATTTTAAATATTAATAAAATTTATTTAGTTTATAAATACGAATTATAATTTTTTTAAAACACTTTTAATAAATAAAATTTATTTAATTCATAACTAAGGATTCAATTCAATGTAAATTTAACATACATGTTAATAGTTTAATGGAAGTTTATGTTAATATTTAAATTTCAATTATTTGAACATAATATATACAATTAAATATTTAACATTTACTTTGCAAAATGTAATTTAAAGTATAAATGATTTGGTGTGTTGGTATTTATTTTTACTTCACAAAAGAAATATTTATACAGATCATATTTCAAGACACTAGTGATTAATAGGAGTATTACAAGAAGCAAGCACATATAGAAAGGTCAAAGTTTAGTCGGCAACAGATCTTGTTCTTATGTAAAGAAAATATTACGTTACATAAATTTTTAAATTCATATTTGAATTTTGTCATGGGTGGGTCTATTCTAATTTTATTTTACTTTTATTTAATTTATTTTTAAGTTTATATTTAAATTTTATCGTACGTAAATTTTTTTTAATTTTATTTTACTTTCATTTAATTTTTTATTGATTTATTTCATGAATTTACTAATGTTGATTGTAAATGTTACTAAATGTTATTAACATGTTAGGATCATTTGTTGTTGTGTTGATTTTAAATTCAAGCTTTCAGATATATGCTCACGCCAAGCAAAATGCCAAATATATCAATTTAACAGTAATGTCAACATGGGCAAAAAGGAAGACACGGAAACAAGTTAAAAATCTTGCTTGATTCATTACGTTTCAAGTATCGTTTTAAACCAGGCAGGTATGAATGGATCATTTTCAAATCAAAACAAATAGCTTTTGCCTTGTAATTTGTCATTTTATTACCAATTTTATTACCACCATTCCAAATTGTTAGTATTAAAAGAAGGCAAACTTTTCCTTCACGTTACGGCCTTAAAAAGGTCACTGTCCATATAAAAATCATTAGCATTAACCACCCTTAATTGGCAACAATGTCGTTCAAACTTTACAATGTTTATTTTTTAATCCTTTATGTACATCAATTTAGACATAGTGCTCATTTTTGCAACAAACTGAACGAGACAGTCAACAGGTCTTGACTGTTGATTAAACATTTAAAAAAAATGACCAAATCATATAGTAAAAGGTATTTTGGTAAATACTTGTACTAGGAAAAATCAATAAGCATTTACATGAGATTTTGAGCTACTCTACAAATTCACAATCGTGATTTCCTTCCCCAAAATCTTTGAGACTGAATGTTTGAATCACTACTTGTATTTACACTACTGTGAAAAATTGACGGAATGCCATTCCGATTCAGTTCATTCGTTCAATCTACATGTACGAACTACAGAAAATATTCAGCATTTCAAATTCTGAACTTGGACTCACGAATCAACAAAGTATCATAGGTAAAAGCCTTGGCGAATTCTACAATTAAAGGAAGAGAACGAAGGACCCGTTTCAAGTTAATAAGAGCCGTGCAAAATGACATGCTGTCTCTGTATTCCTAGCACGTGAAAGTACAAGATTTCTCTAATTAAATTCTTTTGATTGATGAACCATTCATCGTGCTTGGACTTTTTGTTTAGCGACAAATTGATGAACATCCGGCCACCAGTCAAGAAGTGATGACAGGTAAGGGCATTAACAGTCAGGATAGGAAACACAGGTCAACAATGCCATCTGTCAGGAACTCAAAAGTCATGCATGGTAGCAATCACTGGCGGCATTAGGAACAACTGATACATCACCGTTGGCTCAACTTTATGCAGATCCATAATCATCTATATGGGAAGTCAATGGTGTGGCTGTGTCTCCCGCATTGGCGTGATTCCTGTAACTGCTTCGAAAATCTAATAATAAATGCCAGACTGGATAACTTCTGACAAATGCTGTACTGCCACCAGTACATCCTAGATGCTTTCCACATTAGCCAAAAACTTTTGAGAACAGACCTTCACAGCTATTTGAGAAAAGCCTGCATAACCTTTCACTTAATTTGCAGTTTCTCATAATTGAGCAGAAAAATAAAAGTTTAAAAAATAAATTACCATTTAGCAATTATATCATGCTAACATTCCAATGTGATGCTTTCGAAGATGCTCTCTGGATCTTATATCAGCCTACATATATGAATGCAATTCCAGGCTTGAATATTTCGTACCACAGAAAGAATCAAAATAAAGATGATCAATGGTTCAAGTTTCTTATTTCTAAATAACAGATCTCAGTGACTAGCAAAATTATATCAAAATAATGGCCTTCCATACAAGCATTTTTTTTGTTTTACTAAATAATGGTGTCCTTTGTGAAGAGTAGCAATTAACGTCTAAAATATCTATGGAAAGGAGTTGCTACTGGATAATTATTTTAAAACCCTGAATCAGCGAGGGCTTTCAGCAGTAAATCACTAAGCAAACAAAAATCTCAGGAGGTTTCTATAACCATGGACAATCACTCCAATGCACCTCATAGATGTACATAAAAAATCAAATTTCTTTTTTTTTTTTTCCTTAAAAGCCAACAATAGATAGCTCTACTAACATCACATCAAAGCGATAAAGCCTTCATACAAGAATTGTTAACACCAGGGCACTTTGACATTTTCATTTAGAACTACAACAAACAATGATACAAGAAAGAAATCAACAAAGCTGAAGGATTATGAACTTCAAAGAATCAGTTACATGCTAATTTGCCCAACAACAAATTCATAATTTTACCAGAAAGCACCAAACTTGATTACCTGCCTGATAGGCTCTGGCACACGAAATTTGCATGTCATGTTTACAATCTTGATGGCAGTATCAAGTGATACTCGATGACCAATTGAAACAAATACAGGCTTCAGTGAACCTTGAGTTGATCTCATTGCCTATTTAAAATTTTAAAAAATAAAATAAAAAAGAAAAGACAAGGTACTGTGAAGATTTGGGACTATAAAGCTGAGGTTAACTTTAGTAACTCTATTTTTCTATTCTCAGGTCATCCCTGAACTTATGAAAAATAAAACAAATGACTTAGCATTTCTGCAAGTTGATATCTGATGATTGATACTATTCTAACATCCTACAGGTTAAAGAAAAATTTTACAGAAATCTCTAACATGCTGCAAAAAAGTAGCATCTCGAAGTTGCATAAGAATTACAAAATGCAGCTTTAAATAAATCAGCAGATACACCTCCATGCTTGTCGATTTTCTATATAGTCCATAGAATGAGATAAAAACTCTCCAGGTATAGTAAATGGATGATTAAGGCTTATGTCAACTTTATTTTGAAGCAGAAGCAACCCAGCAAGTTCGCCAGAAATGATTTAAAAGAAAAACAGCCAGGTCCATATCGAAGCCCTGGTATAAATTCTGCTCACAATAGTCAAATGACAATGCCCATACCGAAAAAGAAAGTGCTCTTTAACAATAGGGTGGTATTTTCATGGTGCCTTAGTTTATTACATGAGTCCAGCTATCTCTGTTGCTGAATTCATTGCTCTTCACCTTAGGGTTGGTTGAAAAAAACTGCTTTCATGCATGATTGTGAATTTTTATATATTACATATCCGTGTATATATTACATATCCGTGTATGCTTCGACTAAGAAAGGAGAGTAAGAAAAAAAAATGAATCCTGGCCAACTTCTTACCGCACCCCAAATGAAGCCTGAGCTGCCTCTTAAAGTAATAACGTCATTGGCTCTGTTTTCTTCAGCTTCGAGAAGTTTTCTTACCCCAGATTGAGTAAGACCATCAATATGATGCAGCTGAAAAAGATATCAACATATTGACGGTGTTCATATATATACATATATATATACACACAAACTTGTATATATTCATACATTATGTTTCATTAAAATCACAAATAACATATAATAGCATATAGAATAATAGTTGATGTAAACTCACGTTCTTTCCAATACCAATGGTTGGAATGTTAGCAAGAACACCTAGATGAGAGGCCAAACCAAAACCTGGCCAAGGAAAAACTGTAGTTTAAATCATTTGTGGAAGATGAAAGGAAAGCAGCGATTCCTTAATAATGCTGAAAACAGAGAATTGCAAGTTGTGAATGATGTTTATTGGACAACAAGCCTCAAAGTACAGTGAACACATCATCTCAATATAAAACAGAAACTGAAAACAATCGCAAAAAAAGGGGGGGGAGAGGGGGTAAAAGTGAGGGTTATATCATATAAAAATATATATTGCTCATACTTGGGTTTCCATAGCGTTGGTGTTGTAAGTGAAGGTGATAAGGGGAGTTAATAGAGTAAAGACTAAACTTGCCTCGAGGGTGAAGTAATCCATTACCATCCACCATAAGTACCTGCTGAATGCATGCAGAAATTACACGACAAAGAGGAGATGATGATGATGACGAATAATAAATAACGACAAAAACTGAAAATGCTAAATTGAATACAAAGAAGGACCTGCGGGTAGAAAGGACTAGCATCGTTTTTCATCTTCTCTAAGAGATGTACAAGAATGGGAGCCTTTAAAAACAAAAAGTAAAAGGGGTTTAGTTAAAGATAGTGCTGTCGTTGATAGAATCATAGTAGACCTAGTAGTAGTTAGAAGAAAAGAGGATACCTCACGGAAGGCAAGGAAGCCAGGGACATAAGGAACGTCAAGGGTGAGGCAAGTGTAGTCCTGATAGACGAGGCGCAGATCATGATGGAGGTCCAAAACCACGAGGCTCCCACATGCCATGGATGGCTCTTCCTTGGAGAAGCTGACGTCCACTCCCCCCACATACGTGAGTTGTTGCTGGTGTGAGTGTGACTGTGGAGAGGGCAATCTCCATGGGAAATCATCCACCGCAATGACACTTTTCTTTAGCGTATCTTGAATCCTGTCATTCCAATCAGTCGTCTATTTTACACAATTACACTACAATCTAAAAATAACAAACCCTAATCCAATTAATACATATCAAATTACAATTACATACTCGGCCCATTTGCCCAATTCAGGCGGATCTGAACGTTTTTGTGCTTCCTCTTTCTCATTTTCATTTACCCCTTCCATTTTCCACTTTCGCTTCCGCAATGCTGAAGCTGTTCAAAACTGGAGATCAGAATCAGATCTAATTTCTTTACATCTAACGCAACTTCTTCAGAATCAGGCGGTTCCTATGCAACTACTAAGATGAGATTGGAAGAGCAGATCATCTATGAATGGCTGTCAAACCGTGAAGAGGTAAATCTACTACGAAGATTTTCCAACTAAAAAAATAACTAGGTGGAAAATCGTAAGAATCAAAAGAACCATGGTATGGCGCGTGCCGAGTAATAAAAAAAGCAACCCAACAGCTACAGGCCATTAAAACCAAGTCTAATATAGAACAATGGACATGAAAACCCAAATTCAAAGAGGAGCCTGGCTTCAACAAGAAAACTGGCTAGTCTTTTCGATTATCCCGTTTTTGTATTATATAAAATACAATTTTATGTCGACAATTTAAATAAAGTAATTATTTATAAATATGAAAAGTTTTTGAAATAGGTGATGATGTTGAGGAGAGTTCACAACGTTAATTTATCAAAACATGAATTTAACAACAAGCGGCTGCGGTGTTAACACGCATCCACAAATAATATAGAGAATAATGATTTAATTTTTAATGATAAATTTTTATATTTTGCAATAAAAGATTGACTGTTGAATGAATTTTATATTGAGTTTTGCATTGATTTTCTATTATGATTCTTATTTTTAAAATAAATATATTCTTCGTATTTTTTATTTAATATGTTAATTAAAATTTTTTTATGACTTTTTTTGTTATTCTTATTTAAATTTTATTTTAAAATTGTTGTAATAATCTTTTATATTTGATTAGTCAAAACATATATAAACATAACGACAATATATATATATATTAATCTACAAAATTATATTATTTAAATTATATTTTTTTATATTATTTAATTTAATTTTAAATTTGTTTTAATAATCTTCTATATTTTATTAGTTAAAACATATATAGATGTTTTATGTATATAATATATTTTCGTGAGACACGAGATAATTAAAATTATGTAATTTATAAAATTTAAGTTAAAATAAATATTTTAATTTAAAGTTTAAAAACATTTAAAATTATAAAACTTACCAAAATCAAAGAGGAATAAAAATATCAAAATTTTTAACATTATTACTATAAATTGTTTCCGTTACATATAATTTTTTCAATATTTTTATATTCACAATCATATGCGTAACTTTTTATCTCCATTAATTTAATTGTGATATTTTATTATTACGATTTTTCTAAATTAAATAACAATTTATCTTTATTATATATATATTTTTTGACCTTTTATTGGGATTCATTTTAATGCTTAGTATCTAGTTAGAACCCTAAATAATTTCAAAACAAGTGCATGTGATGTGATCTTTATTTTAAACGTTGAACTATACGTGTTCTTAGAATCAAATTCCCACCATTAACTTATGATTTTAATTCAACTCTTTAGGATTGTGAAAGAATCATCTTTCTCCTAAGTTTTTGATCCATACTAAATTAGCCTATTTATTTTAAACCCAAATGAGACATATTTTTATTTAAAAAATATTGTCACCTTTTTTTAATTATAGAAATCAATTAAATAAATATACAATATTATATTATGTTTACACAAAATTTTAAATTGATACATTACAATAAAAATTCATATGTTTGAATCACTAATTCCTAAAAATGAATGATAAGCATTGGTAATTATCAAAATATTCATATATAGTTAAATACACAATCTAATATATATTTCCTAAAAAAATTATTTAATTATATTAACAAGCACATTAGCTCATTCAAATCTAAAAAATAATATTAGATGAAATTGCCATTCTTTGATTTTTTAACTAATATCTTATTTAGAAAACTACATCAAAATATAAAATGTAAAAGTTCATAATCACCTACAAACTAGCGTATTTCCAAAAAATATATATAAAGTAATGTATTTAAATTATATTACGATTTTATTATAAAATAATATATTCTATATATTTATGAATATGTTTATTTTATACTTGCCATTGTGTTGATATGTATATTAATACTTTATCGACATGGCAATGTGTATTTAACTATAGTCTTTGTTTAAACAATTGTCGATGAAATTCTAATAGAAGGCATGTATTTTATATTTTTAGTAAATTTATGGTTATTTACTTAAAACATGGGGTTTGTAATATTTATGTTTGCCGAATTTTATTTTTGAAATTAAGATTGAATAATATCTATCATAAATTATTTTACTTAAGCAATAATTTCACTGCATAGGTCGAAATATTATTTATTATTATTTTAAAGTTTTTTAATTTTAATTTTAATTTATTAATTATGTATATAACAAATTTATATACTTTGATGTCCCGTGCTTGCGGAATCAAAGCTAGTTTATTTATAAAAAAAAAAAAAAAAAAATCAATTGCTCAAGTTGTAATGTGAAAAAAAGTGCCGTGATCTAATTAGCTACTGTAAAAAATTACTAAAAGGATTAAATTAAAAAAAAAAAAAAAAGAAAAAGAGAGACGGAGCGGAGAAGAATTGGGTTGGGTGTCGGGTATAATCAGGAAGCTTCGGATCCCCTTTGCCCTTTCTCTCTCCCTTGCTTATAAACGCGGTAGCAAGCGATGGCCAAGAATTTTTTTTTTTGTATTCCATTGCGTTGAGAAAGAGAAGCCTTCTTGTTACTCCTTACCCCCTCGGAAGGATTACCTTTAATTTGTTTGTCTTGATTGGACCTCTTGTTTATTCTTCTTCATCATTATAGTAATTCATTAGTAGCGTATATTGTCTTTTAATTTTTTTTTCAACTGTAAATAAAATTCGAAAATACCAAATAGCTTAGACATGGAGGATATGTCCAACCAACTCCAAGCTCCCAATCCCAATCACAATGAAAACCAGAATCAAAGGGAAGAGCAACCGCCGGAGGAAAGAGAGGAGCAGCAACAGGAAGAGGAAGAAGAAGACGAGGAAGAAGAAGGGAAGAAAGAAGACGAGGAATTGATGGCAAAGGCGCAGTCTCTCATGGAAAAGATCACTTCTTCTCCTGATAACCCTAACCCTACCGTGCTCCATGCTCTCGCTTGCCTTCTCGAAACTCAGGAGTCTCTGTACGTCTTCTCTCTCTCTCTCTATATATATATAATATTTTTTAAATAGGTTTTACTTTTAAATTTAATTTCTATCAAACAGCCAAGCTACGGAACTACTCGCACAGTGTAATTTAATACTAGGATACTTCTATTCATACGTATTCCCGGTACTTGATAGTTCATATGCCTATCCTTTCGTCCAATGCTAAATTACAAAGTTTAATTGAACATAGTTTAGAGGGGGAAGAAATGTTCGGCTATAACTGTGCTACCTCAAAAATTTCAGTGCTAAACTGTGTTTTTTTAATGAACAATAACAAACTGCACACAATAGATATTTTAAGCTTTTTGAGAGGTTGATATGTAAAATGTACGGAGAAGCAGCAATATCCTATTGCTTTTCACTCTTTCATATTATATACTAGTATTTCTTTTCATTTCTTTATCTATTTTGCATATTGTACAAATGTTTTGAATTCTCTATATGTTTAATTTTAGATACCTTGAAGAGCATGGTCCTTCTTCCAGCAATGGTCGTGCCTCTCATAATGTTGGACGGTTGGGGAACTTAGTCAGGGTAATTAACTTTTCTTTATTGATCCTTTCTGTTTTCCTTGTTTCATAATAATGTTATTATTATTTTTTTTTTTCATTTCATGCAGCTTTTCACTATCCATTTTATGTTGTTGTTATTTAGGCTAGATATGATATGATTTTTGAGAACATTATTGCTTATTTGACAAGGTTCTTACTTGGAGCATTTCCTTTTGCTCTCAGGAGAATGATGAATTTTTTGATTTGATAACATCAAAGTTTCTTTCTGAGAGTAGATATTCAACCTCTGTCCAGGCAGCTGCTGCTAGACTTCTTCTAAGCTGTTCTCTTACTTGGATTGTGAGAATTTTTTTTTTTTTGGTTGAATGTATTTAATTTCTCTCAACTTTATGGGATATTTTCTGACTTCATGAGCTGTAAATGGGTTGCAGTATCCTCATGTTTTTGAAGAACCAGTTTTGGAGAACATCAAAGCTTGGGTGATGAATGAGACTGCCAGATTTTTTATCGAAGATCACAACTGCAAGCATGAATTGGCTAGAAAGGAAGCCTCAGATGCTGATATTTTAAAAACCTATTCCACCGGCCTTCTTGCCGTGTGTTTGGCAGGGTCTACTCCTAACTTGATGTTTATGTTGCTCTCTTTGTTCTGTTCTTATCTGCCCGGTGTTTCCATTCTTTCATTATTCTTGTTTTCTCCTCCTTCTGATCATTCTTAGCATTATTGAATGTTGCAGTGGTGGTCAAGTAGTGGAAGATGTGTTGACTTCTGGATTGTCTGCTAAGCTTATGCGTTATCTTCGTGTGCGTGTCCTTGGGGAGATTACCGCAGGTCAAAATGATGCCTGCAATTTATCTGAAAGTAAGAGTTTATCTAGCGCTGCTTCTTTCAGAAGTAGAGATGAAGGTCGAGGGAGGGTTCGGCAAGTTCTAGAGACAACTCATATAGATGATTCCAGAATAATAGATGAGAAATCTTTAGATGACCCTTGTGCTGAGCGGGATCAAGATCAAAGCACTGGTCAGCCATCAAGTGGAGAGGAGTGTTGGGTTGCTGACAGACAATTACCTGATGGGGTGGCTGAGGGTGTTGACATGCATGTTGTGGATGCAGATAGTGAGGAAAGATGGCATATTCGAGATATCCGTGATGGAAAAATGAGATGTGGAGAAGTTGATGAAAATGGGAGAGATGACTCCTCAAGGCGCAGGATAAACCGTGGGTCAAGGTCTAGAGCTAAGGGAAGGACCACTGAAGGGATTATGGAGAATGAACAATCACTAAACTCTCCAGGATCCGGTAGCCCTTTTGGGCTGGCGCGTAGTATGAGAGACAGAAGTTTGTCTAAATATTTAGATGCAAGAAAGGTGTTGGAGGCAAAGAAGTGTATTGGAAAGACAAATGCTGATAATCTTGTAGTGGAAAGAGAGGATAATGATGAATGCTTTCAAGGATGCAGAGTTGGGAGTAAAGACTTCTCTGATCTGGTAAAAAAGGCAGTTAGAGCTGCTGAAGCTGAAGCTAGGGCAGCCAATGCACCTGATGAAGCCATCAAAGCAGCTGGTGAAGCTGCTGCTGAAGTTGTCAAGTGTGCCGCTTTAGAGGTACAATGCTTTTCTCATGATTCTGTTCTTTTTCAGTTTTCCTTCCCCCCCTTCCCCGCGACCAAATTCTTTTGAATGAGATTTATTATCAGTTATTTCTTCTTTCTTCTATCCTCAGGAGTTCAAAACTACTAACAATGAAGAAGATGCATTATTGGCTGCTTCCAAAGCAGCATCTACCGTTGTTGATGCTGCTATTGTCACTGAAGTTTCAAGGTAGGTACTTCTTTTTGACAGAATTTACAGAGTCATAATACCCGCAATTCAGTTGTTGTATTTGGGTTTTCATTGCCTCGTGCAACTGTTAATACACCTCATTTGTTGTTCACAGGGACTCCACTAGTACAAGTGCTGATCCAATAAATAAAACTGCTGTGGAAACAGAAGTAAACCAGGATGTTGAAGAGCACTTTATTCCCAGTGTTGAGCTGCTTGCTCAGTTGAGAGAAAGATACTGCATTCAGTGCCTTGAGACTTTAGGTGAATATGTTGAAGTCCTTGGGCCTGTACTGCATGAAAAGGGTGTAGATGTATGTCTTGCCCTGTTGCAACGATGTTCCAAGGATGAAGAGGCATCAAAGGCTACTTCACTTTTGCCTGATGTGATGAAGCTAATTTGCGCTTTAGCTGCCCATCGGAAGTTTGCTGCATTATTTGTTGATCGTGGTGGCATGCAAAAACTGCTTGGTGTTCCAAGAGTTGCTCAAAATTATTTTGGTCTTTCTTCTTGCTTAGTTACTATAGGTTCTCTTCAGGTAATGCATGTAAAGCTTAAATGTTGCAATTTATGATGTACTAGATTTCTTAAATTTTAGGAGTTACCGTGAATTTTTATGGAGGTTGTTTCTCCTGATTTGAGAGTACTATTAGAAAATATACCATTTGAGCCTTATTCACTACAACGTAACAGACCACTAAAATTTTCATTTTTTGTGTTCTTCTAGGGAATAATGGAACGCGTCTGTGCACTTCCTTCTGATGTTGTCCGCCAGGTGGTTGAGTTAGCTATCCAACTTCTTGAATGCCCACAGGACCAAGCTAGGAAAAATGCAGCATTGTTTTTTGCTGCTGCATTTGTCTTCAGAGCAGTGCTTGATGCTTTTGATGTTCAAGATGGCTTACAGAAACTACTGGGCCTTTTAAATGATGCTGCCTTAGTTAGATCTGGGGCAAATTCTGGTGCGTTAGGCTTGTCTGGAACAATGTCATTTCGAAATGATAGATCGCCGTCAGACGTACTGACTTCCTCAGAAAAGCAGATAGCTTATCATGCATGTGTTGCTTTGCGGCAATACTTCAGAGCTCATCTTCTTTTGCTTGTGGATTCCATACGCCCAAATAAAAGTAACAGAAGTGGGGCACGGAGTATGCCAAGCACCAGGGCAGCATACAAGCCTCTTGACATTAGCAATGAGGCTATGGATGCTGTGTTTCTGCAGTTGCAGAAGGATCGAAAGCTGGGTCCTGCATTTGTGAGAACTCGGTGGCCTGCTGTTGAGAAGTTCTTAAGTTGTAACGGACATACTACTATGTTAGAATTGTGTCAGGTCTCCTGCGTCAAACTTCTACATCATCCCCCCCCATCCCTCCCCCTTGGTTTATCATTTTCTGCCTCTATCATTTGGTGATTTATTCCTTTTGTAATCTTTGTAGGCCCCTCCTGTTGAGCGTTACCTGCATGACTTGCTACAGTATGCATTAGGTGTTCTGCACATTGTTACATTGGTACCTGTCAGCCGTAAGATGATTGTAAATGCTACATTGAGCAATAATCGCTCTGGCATAGCGATATTTTTGGATGCAGCAAATAGTGCTAGTAGTCCTGTGGACCCTGAGGTGGGCATTGGCTATGTTATTGCAATATTGTTATTATTGTTCTAGCAAATAACCCTAATACTTTCATGGGCCATTTTGGTGATGTCGCGTTTATGGCTTTGAAGGTGCTATTGTTATTTTTGGTTGCTAAAAGCAGATTTGTTACTTGTATGTTTACTGGTTTAGCCACTAAGCTTCACCTCCTTTTATTGTGTACTTGCAGATTATACAGCCAGCTCTTAATGTGTTAATTAACCTAGTTTGTCCTCCACCTTCAATCAGTAATAAACCATCCTTACTAACTCAAGGTCAGCAGTTTGCTTCTGGCCAAACCACAAATGGTCCTGCCGTGGAAACTAGAAATGCAGAACGCAATATTTTGGATCGAGCTGTTTACCTGCCTAACCAGAGTGAGATGAGGGAGCGGGGAGAGTCAAGTTTGGTAGATAGGGGCACTGGAGCAGCCACCCAGTCCACCAGCAGTACCGCACAAACACCTGTTTCCGCTTCTTCATCTAGGTTGGTTGGAGATCGTAGAATATCTTTAGGTGCGGGAGCAGGTTGTGCTGGCCTTGCTGCGCAATTAGAACAAGGATATCGTCAAGCAAGAGAGGTTGTTCGTGCCAATAATGGAATAAAGGTTCTACTGCATCTCCTCCAACCCCGAATATATTCACCTCCTGCTGCATTGGATTGTCTTCGTGCCCTTGCCTGCCGGGTCTTGCTTGGTTTAGCTAGAGATGAAACAATTGCACATATATTGACCAAGCTTCAGGTAAACATGGATTATTGCCACATTCTATTTGATAATATCTTCTTTGTAGTTTTACTTGGTACTTTTTAGCATTTGTCTTATTTCTTTGTATTCAAAAGTTCGCTGCTTCACTTGCTCTCTCATTGCTTACCTGGAAAAAGACGAGTATTTTTACAATCTATTTGATATGGTGATCTACTCATTGGTTAATGTTACTTGTTTCAACTCATAATTTTTCTAGGTTGGCAAGAAACTATCAGAACTGCTTCGAGATTCAGGTGGCCAGACACCTGGAACTGAGCAAGGCAGGTGGCAATCTGAACTTGCCCAGGTGGCGATTGAGCTAATTGCTGTAAGAATCTTTACCTGCTATTAATACTGGTTGCATTCTTCTTTTTGTGCAAAAGGCTATTCTTTTCTACCGCTATTTTATGCCTGTTGTATAAAGTGATTTGAATAGCATACATTAAAAGCTGAGCTTATCATTTTCTGGCCTGATTTTTGCAAACAGTTGTGGGTACAGAGTTGCTCTTTTACAACTTGGTATCTTCAATGGGAGATTAAAGCTTCTTTATAATTAACCATAAACTTGATGCCTTCTTTTTTTGATGTATGTTATTTGCCACGTGATGAGCCCTGAAATATTCAATCAAGAAGTGATTGGTAAAGAACCATCAATCAGAAGCACTTGAAAGTTGACCTATCTTTTACCAAAATGAAAGATTATATGGTTTAGGGACAAAATATCAAGTGATTGTTTAAACCTAATTTATTTCATCAATGGCAGAATTGAGCATCATGTGCTACATGTTAGAACAGGTTTCAGAATAACTTGCTTTGGATCATTCGGTTGTTTCCATTAAGTTGTAGTATCTTCTGTTCTATGATACTTGTTGAGTATTTATATTTCTTTTATTTAGTTGATATTAATTTTTCTGGACTGAATTCATTATTATTGATTGTTATATTATGTATTTTTTTATTTTCTCTCTCATGCATGCTTAGCTCAAGCCTAGTGTTCCAATAAATGAAAATGATTTTTTGGTGAATATATTTTGCTTTTACTTAAATTTTTAGGAGATTGATTCTCAGGATTTATCTAATTTGTCAGATTGTAACAAATTCTGGGCGTGCAAGTACATTGGCAGCTACAGATGCTGCTACACCCACATTAAGGCGCATAGAGAGAGCTGCTATAGCTGCTGCCACTCCTATTACTTACCATTCCAGGTAAATTTTCCAGCAACATTTCATGGATTCATCATCTAATTCTACTTTTCACTGTTCCATTGCTTCATGAATCTTATTCTGTCTGTTCTGTTGTACGCACATGCTCATGAAACTGCAGGGAGCTTTTGCTTCTCATACATGAACATCTGCAGGCTTCTGGTCTGGCTGAAACTGCGGCTTCACTTCTGAAAGAAGCTCAGTTGACACCTTTGCCGTCCTTGGCTGCCCCTTCATCTCTTGCACTCCAAGCCTCCACACAAGATACTCCTTCAGGACAACTCCAGTGGCCCTCAGGTCGTATTGCTGGTGGATTTCTCTCCGGCAGATCAAAGATTGCTGCCCGTGATGAGGATATTAATTTGAATTGTGATTCAACACTATCTTTAAAGAAGAAACCGCATGTTTTCTCGCCAACTTTCGGGTTGCAACCAAGAAACCCCTTTCATTCCCAAGATTGCCAACCACCATCTGTCAGGAAAGTATTCACTAGTTCAAAACCATGCCCTTTACCAGCAAGTGTTTCAGAAACTCCCTCGGAATCTATGCTGAAAAGTAACATTGATTCAGAATCACAATGTAAGACGCCTCTTGTGTTGCCAATGAAAAGAAAGTTATCTGAGTTAAAGGATACTGGTTTGGCACTGTCTGGGAAGCGGTTCAACACTGGTGATCATGGACCGCGGTCTCCAGTTTGTCTTACACCCAATACTACTCGTAGAAACTGTCTGCTTGGAGATGCTGCTGCATTCATGCCAACTTCTACTTTAAGGGATCAACATGTTAGAGCAACATCAAGCAGCTTAATCGATTTGTCAGATGACAACCTGTGTGGTAGCTCTCATGTGGGACAGATGACACCTTCCTCCCAAGTTGGGCTTCTAAATGATCCCCAACCTTGCAACTCAGAACGTTTAAGTCTTGACACTATTGTTGTTCAGTATCTAAAGCACCAGCATCGTCAGTGCCCTGCTCCAATAACAACTCTTCCACCACTCTCTCTTTTACACCCACATGTTTGTCCTGAGCCAAAACGAAGCCTCGATGCACCGTCAAATATCACTTCCCGGCTTGGTACTCGTGAGTTCAGGAGTGTTTATGGTGGAGTCCATGGAAATCGTAGGGATCGTCAGTTTGTTTATAGTAGATTCAAGCCATGGAGAACTTGCAGGGACGATGCCGGCACTTTGTTGACATGTGTTTCTTTTCTGGGGGACTCCTCCCATATTGCAGTTGGTAGCCACGTTGGGGAGCTAAAAATTTTTGATTCTAACAGCAACAATGTGCTTGACAGCTGCACAGGACACCAGCTTCCTGTGACACTTGTTCAGTCATACTTTTCTGGTGAGACCCAAATGGTTCTCTCATCAAGCTCTCAGGATGTGCGGTTGTGGGATGCCTCCTCTGTCTCAGGTGGGGCTATGCATTCATTTGAAGGCTGCAAGGCTGCTAGGTTCAGCAATTCTGGGAGCATTATTGCTGCCCTATCTGCAGATTCCACCCAGCGAGAAATTCTCCTTTACGACATCCAGACTTACCAGTTGGAGTTGAAGCTTTCTGATACCTCAGCTAATTCTACAGGTCGTGGTCATGTATATTCCCTTATACATTTTAGTCCATCTGACACTATGCTGCTTTGGAATGGTGTTTTATGGGATCGACGGGTTCCTGGTCCTGTTCATCGCTTTGATCAGTTTACAGATTATGGTGGTGGTGGTTTTCATCCTGCTGGGAATGAGGTATATAACCCTGTCTCTATGATAGTTTATCCTTTTGGTATTCTTTTCTCTGGTGTGTTTTATCAGCTGCTATCTCTTTAAACTCTTTGTAATAAAGCTTTTCGGTCAGACATCATTCATTTTTTTCTTGTACTATGTTTTTCATTTTGGTGGTTCACTAGGGTGATCTGTATGTATGTGGAGGATAGTACAAATGGAAACCAGTCCATTGAAACTTCAGACGTTCAGAAATTTTGTAGGCATTTTGTTAGTGCTTGTCATTCAAGTTTTAGATGAGTGCATTTTTTTTAGTTGTTTTGCAATTCAAAATGTAGTTTTAGTGTGCATGGTCTGTTAATTGAAGCTTCTCTTAAATATATTTGCTGTGTTTTTTTTTTCTATCTTAAATTTACTTTCAATCTTTGGTTAATAATTTACCTTTCAATAGGTTATTATAAATTCCGAGGTTTGGGATCTGCGGAAGTTCAGGCTACTCCGAAGTGTTCCTTCTTTAGATCAAATGACAATAACCTTCAATGCACGTGGGGATGTAATTTATGCGATCTTGAGGAGAAATCTTGAAGATGTGATGTCAGCAGTCCACACCCGTCGTGTCAAGCACCCCCTTTTTGCTGCTTTCCGCACATTAGATGCAATCAACTACTCTGATATTGCCACTATTCCAGTGGATCGATGTGTTCTCGACTTTGCAACTGAACCAACTGATTCCTTTGTTGGGTTGGTTACCATGGATGACCAAGAAGATATGTTTTCGTCAGCCAGAGTTTATGAAATTGGTCGGCGAAAGCCAACTGATGATGATTCCGATCCTGATGACGCAGATGATGATGACGACGATGATGATGACGACGATGATGATGATGCTGATGTAGACCCAATACTTGGGCCAGATCTCAATGGGGATGGTGAGAGTGATGCCTATGATATGAGCAATGAGGATGATGACAGCGTGAGTGAGCTTGATGACGATGACGGAGATTTTGTCATGGATGATGTAGACGCCGATGGAGGTGGGATATTGGAGATTGTGACTGAGGGTGAGGATGATGACAGCCAGTTGGTCGAATCTCTTAGCAGTGGTGATGAAGAGGATTTTGTGGGGAATGGATTTGGTTTCTAATTTGATATATGATAGGCAAAATTGTTGGTCACAATGCTTCATTTAGAAATAGTCGAAAATCAAAATGTTTGTAATTATTGTTTGATGGTATTTATTGTTTTTTTTTTTCTTTTGCCAATTTTGTTACTTTTTGTTACTATTAACCCTAAGAGGGCGGGAGAAAGGGTGCGTCGGTTCTCTGCAAGGTAGACAATGGAGAATAACCATTTCTTTTTAATTGTTTTGTTCATGGTAAGAACAATGTATGCAAGGTAGACATTGGAAAAAGTAGGGATTCTTGTTTTCAGGGCTCCACAGAATCTGTGTAATGTGATGATCATGTGAAAGAATAACAAGTCTACTATGCATCAGCAGTTAGAAAGCGAAATGGGGGCAAAACCAGAACCAACATCAACCCTCAGCCGCAGGGGATGTTTCTTTTCTGAGGTTTGCTACTTTTTACTTTAGTAGGTTGTCGCCAAACGCTAACACTATCGATCGAGTTCATTTTGCCGAATAGAGTGAAGGGTGAAAAGTCATGGTTCTTTTCGTTAAAGAAAGGGTTTAAGAAATGAAAAGCTGCCTGCGTACTTGCTGACAACACGAGTAGCAATTATCCTGAATAGTGGCATCCCTTCCCCTCCCTTTGGCTTTTCAAGTTGTTCAGTTCGTCGTCAGTTTTAGTTTATAACTCTATTTAGATTTTGATGCGAGAATAGAGTAGACTGTTGACAACAGAGGCAAGCAGAAGAAGAGAAAAGATGGGTGATGGTGAGAAGAAAAGGGCAATGGTAAGTGTAACTGTGACTGCGGCGAAGCCCCAATCGTTCAGAATCCATAGGAAATCGGCCACTGGCGTCCATGCTCAAATCTTCCATTTCCAAGCTGCTACTTCGCTTACTTGCCGATTATTACGACAACGTCCTCGCTGTACGATCAACTTCATCATCTATTTCTTCAGATTAGTTTCTACTTTCTACACGGTTTCCGTCGGTACATATACGTGTAGATATGATACATTATCTTCACACGCCTTTGAAATTTGAATAAATTTTTGTATTCTTCTTTTTGTTCTTATTCATGAACAGGAATATGTGATTATTATTATATTTATTGGAGTACATTACGGTTCTTGTGTGCAATGGAAAGCATCAGAATCAGGCTAGAGATGACCTTGACGAATTTCTTAGTGATAAAGACTGCTGAATTTGTTTCTTGGTACTCTCTCCCTTCCAGGCCCTGGTTTTAATTAATTAAATATCATTCTGCTGTTGCATAATGTTGAGGAATCTTGTCTTTGTTTCTTGGAACTCACTTGTGGACCGAAAACTCCAATACCCATCTATACGATGATAATTTTTCCTCTTAATCCAAACATATTATACCCTCTTTGATTGAAATTAATTATTGTCCTTATCATCTCTCTTTGAACTTGTTGGTGCTGGGAGGTTTAAGTGTTTTTTTTTTTTTCTGTACACGTGGAAAACCACTTGGTTTGGCTTACACAAATTGAGCAGCACTTTTCCTTCCTACACTCCCACTCCGAAAATTCAAACTTCAGACCCCCACATTTAAAGTCCCAAGTTTTAACAGTTGAGTTGTTCCTCCGCGGATAATTATTGAGTTTTTTATTGTCCCAATACTAGCCTTCGTGCATGATAAGTTATTCATTTGCAGGTTCACTGAACATTTCTGAGGGAGATATGGAGTCAAGAACTGTATTTGTTTCAAATGTAATCACATTGAACTTGTTCTGTCTATGTCCTTAATTAGTTCTTGCTGAGCTTTTTCTCTTTTTCTGGTTGACATCAAGCATGTATGATTCTCAAGAAGTCCATGGATATTGATATATATCAGGAGGCTATAGTAGAGGTATTGTTGCATTCAGGTTTAGCCTAAGCTTTTGTTTATAGTTTCTGGCAACTAAACTAAATTGATTATCAAACAATTTAAAGTCGGAAAGATTGATCCATGTGGACCTATTTGACGATAAGGTTTTAATTGAACATTTAAAGTGGACAGTTGTAATCTTAGTCATGTCACATGTGGTTGCAGTTCAACCTCAAGACATGGTCTGCCCAACTCAGAAAAAGATAAATGGTTGGGTGGACTCTTTTCACTTATGAATTTTAATTCTAACAGAATAATAACCGAAACATGTGGGAGATAGAGAATAGCATTCTGAAAGAATTACTGCAGCTTTCAAGCTGCTGCCTTTCGTTTTAAGGCTGCTTGATATAAATAACTGATCTAGGATGGCAGGGAAATGTTGGGTGGCTGGTTAGTATTTGTGGGGGAATACAAGTGAAATTATGGCTAGAAATTAATGATAAGAAATTAGAAAAAATAAGTTAAATAACGGTTAGAAATTAGTGATATGGATCTTGCTCAATTAAGAACATAGCAAATCGATAAGAATATTAACTACCACTACCAGGCTCATCATAATTCATAACAGGTTCAAGGAATCACTCCTGGGAAAAAAATCCATGCTTTGTATGAATTATAACATTTTTTTGGATTAGTATATTTATTATCCAGAAGCAGCAAAATACTGCTACAATATTACATGCAAAACCAGCGTTTACAATTCGAACCTTTCTGTACTTAACTCCCGTTTTTCACATAGTTCCTTATTTACATGATCATAATCAAGCCCCTTTAACCCAAATACCCTCATTTGAACTGAGTCTTTTATTTGCTTCAATATATATAATAGTACTTCATTCATTCATTACTGTATAGTATCTTTCTTCTATAAATTTTAATCCTAGATTTGCTTGTGTAGCCTAAACTAATGGTAAGTGAGTCAGCGGGTACGATTGCAACTTGTCAGGTTTTTGTGTGGCTGAGCAAATTGTTGAGGTATAGTTTGGAGGTCGATAATGAAACTTAGTTATTTGTTGACTGTCTACATTCATATACTAACTTATGTTCTTTCCGAAAGGGTGAGCAATGCATTGGGGAGATGCATAAACCCTTGATTGTAATGTTTCAGATCTGCCTTTGGAATTTGGGGATATATAGTGTAGGTTTTATTTTTATTCTTTTGAGGATTGATGGTGGTATGAAATGCAGGTTTTAAGGAAGGTGGATACAGGCACAGCTGCTGCAATATTTGTATCCAACCATCCTGCTGGGAAGCTGTTCCTAGCTCCAGTTTCTCACCTTAACAGGAAGGCTATCCACAGCAGACAACATTATCCCTGCTCTTTATCTGCAAAGGAGGCTAGAGACAGTAATCTTTGAACAAAATAATTGACGGATCTAAGAGATCTTTTTTAAGTGTTCACTTATAATATATATAAAAAAAATCGTCAACAAGAATAATCATTTTTTTTTTTAATTTTTTATTTTCAATCTTTCATGGTGTCCATAAACATTAAACTTTAAAGCATGGATCTGCCTTACCATCCTTTATGCTAAAGCTTCCAACTTAACTTGATTCGGAAACAACCACAGAGGAGAAGTCTCAATAGTGTCATGTAGTGGTAAACCTCGGTGATTGTAAGTTGCAATGTCATAGACTCATTCGAACGGGGGACTCTAAGCTGATAATTAAAGTTGTGCTGAACATCTTTATTGCTTCTCTTATTTATTTAATTTTATAATATTTGCTGATAATTTTTCATTTTCATCAAAGAAAAATAGTACTCCGTATAAAAAAAGACGGAGTATGCTAAAATTATTAAAATTAAACATATGAATTAGGCGAAGCCTAAAAAAAGATGGATATGGCCGAGTCCAACACTGTTGATAAAAATAATTGAGAAAAAAAATAAACGAGAAAAAATTTATAAAAAAAATGAAAACCGAAGAAAATACACGCGCGTTATTACGGGATGGAGGACCTAACAAAAGCAATCAAAGCACAGCTCTATCGACACGTGTATAGGAGATAAAGCGAGTGGAAAAGTAGAGAGAATAGAGGCGAGTGGTGCTGGGTCTGGTCACAATAAAAACGAGGCTTTGAAAGTAAATGAGAAGCGAAGACTGCTCCTCTCTTGTTCTTCTTCTTCAACCTTTTTTTAATTTTTTTATTGCTAAACCTTTCGCTCGTCTTCTTCGTTTTTCTTTCTTTTCTTTGGGTCTTTTTATTTTCTTCTTGCGGGAGGCATTTGATGAATCTATAAAATTAAGCATCCTGATCAGTCGTTATCCAAATTTCGTCTACTATTTTCTTAGTAAAATATTTCAGGTATGCATTTGATGTATTTTCCATCGCTGAATCCGTTGATCACTTGTCCTGCTAAAATTTTCCTGATTTTTTGCAAATTTCCGAACTTCCTTTGATTTTCAGCGTGTTTTCATAATCTGATCTATGCCTGAAGTTGGTTGATTTATGATGGAATATATTATTCTTTTAATAATTTATTTTTTAATAAAAATGGAATATTTCGATTGGGAAGGATGTGGAACTTGAAAAGGAAATGAAAAATTAATAATTTTGATTTTCAATTTGTGTTTGGTTGGTCTAAAATCTGTAGCTGAATCGTTTTTGTTCTGCTTCATTCTGTTCCAAGGACATAGGGGTTTTAGGGCAAAAAAATTTTTTTTATTTGAAAGTTGAAAGTCGTAGCTTTTATTTTGTATGCATAAAACTTTTGTCTGAAAGACCGTGCTTTGCAGCTTTTTCATTTCAATCGCAGCTATCGGTGGTACTTTGAAGGTTTGACTGTTTCTTGAACGGATATTTTGGCTTACGGGCTCCGATTCAGCTTAAACAATCCGGGATCCCAATAATTGCATTTCTAGGGTTTGCTAGCAGCTCGAAGGATTTTCATTTTTCGTAACCAAATTAAGGTTTGACTTATTTCTTAATTCGATTCTTTTAGAACTTCAACGAATGAACAATTATTTCAAAACTGGAAACTAAAGCTAGCTATTATCTCCTTTCTCAAATCACTTGAGACGTGGATGTCTGATGATTTCTGGAGAAATATCTTCTCCCTGTAAAATTACTTATCTTTTTCATCTCCAAGCATCCACTTACGGACATTTTTATATTGCAATTTTTTGTTTCTGTCTATCTGTTGAATTCCTTTACCCAATAAATTAAGCACAAGTTATGTCCTAAAACACAAGCAATGCTTGCTCATAATCTTTAGCACTTAATGTCAGGTGGTAACTCACAAGCTTTCATTTATTTTGGTTTTAGGGCATATCCTGAAGATATTGTGCCATCAAATGAGTTTCAAGAGTTTGGGCTGAGGAAATCTGCTTAACCTGATTTTTATC